CTGGTATAAATAAAGCAGTTACTGGGTGGTTAAAACATGCCAAAGAAAGAAATGAACGACAATTATTATCATAGTCTCATTAGTCACTACATAATTACATACTATACATACATATAATACTCATTACCTTACATTAATTAATATTAGTTTTTATTTTGTATTTTGCAATGAAGAATAAGAACTTCTTCAAAAATTTTTTTATTTCTTACATATTTTATTTGTTTATACTTTATTTTGTTGAAAATATAATTTTACAATTATAAAAAGTATATATATAATATATACATATTATAAATAAATGATATATTTTATAACAATATTTTATTATTTTAATACAGTTTTTTAAAGCTATTATAATATATTGTTAATAAGTAATAACTATAAAATATTAGAAACTATTTACATTTCAGGTACTTCAATTTAAATATGTACATTAAAGCTGAGTTGTAATTAGATTTTTCTGTAAATTGAGTATATATTTTATTTGATAAAACTAAAGGAAGGACAAATGAAAAACAATAGTTTATGGGGCCTTGTTTATACATTGCCATTAACAAGTAGCTAGCTATATTTGATCTAACCATAAGGCATAAATAATTTAAAATTTAAATGAATTTCTTACAAATTACAACTTTTGGGTAAGGTTGACTCCTCAATGGGACATAAATAATCTCGCAAGGGATATTCCAATACCTTTTTGGAATTTAAAATTAGTTTCTAACAAGACTCATAGGAACCATTGAGACCTTTTTGGGATATACTTATAACCTTTTCAGGAAGTTTCCAGGACCCTAATAGACTGCGCACAGGAATATAATGGGAAATACACAGACAATATTGGTCCATCTGTAATACCTGGCCCAGTTAGTGCCTGGCGGGCAGTCTCTTGGAAAGTCTGAACTAGGACATTAGGAATCCTACAGACTGCCTAAGACTTACCCAGACCCAGTGGCGTATCCAGGGGGGGGGGGGTTTGGGGGTTGTAACCCCCCCCCCCCCCCGAAAATTGTTAAATTATAACAACGTTATCATTAATAAATCATTTTAAGATAAAATTCCACAAAAATAAATTATAACCCCTCCCGAAAAAAAATTCTGGATACGCTACTGCCCAGACCAGTCCGTGATATAAACAGGTACTTCCCATTATGAGTCTCAGAGTCTGAAAAATCAATCCCAAGACCTTCCCGGGAGCGTATTTACGGATGCTACTCGAGACTGGCCAATAGATCCCAAATTCAGTTAGGGTTCGTAAAACAAATTTATTTTACGGATACTACTCGAGTCTGGCCACTATGCCACTGCGGTCTACCAAAATGGACGTGGTCTACCGTAATAATATTAAAGTAATAAAGTACAATAATATTAAAAGTATAATAAAGTATAATTTAAAGTATAAAAAAAATTTATTTTATTTTTTATTATACTGTGTTCCACTTGGGGAGGTGTTGCATAGCAAGTCGGGGGATATTTTCGATTTGCGGAGCGGAGCGACGGCGCCGAGGAGCGTAGCGACGAATGCCGCTAGCACCGCATCACTGTACGATGTTTTTTTCAAATTGGTGGCTCGGTGCAACAAAAATGCAATTGATTGAAAAAACATCGTACAGTGATGCAGTGCTAGCGGCACTCGTCGCTACGCTCCTCGGCGCCGTCGCTCCGCTCCGCAAATCGAAAATATCCCCCGACTTGCTGTGTAACACCTCCCCAAGTGGGTCACAGGGTTGAGAAAATTGCATTTTTGTTCCCAGCTATATAGGTAGAACACATAACATTGATAGACCGCATACTATGCTCATGTTTATAGTTACGTAGCACACAAAACGGAGGTAGACCGCATATTGGGAGATAGCCCTGCTTTCATATTGAACTTTTTGAGTCTTTATTTTAGTATAGCGATATCTTACATAGTGGCCAGACTCGAGTAGTCTCCGTAAAATAAATTTGTTTTACGAACCCTAACTGAATTTGGGATCTATTGGCCAGTCTCGAGTAGCATCCGTAAATACGCTTCCAGGGAGGGTCTATGTGCTGTTAGGGCGTCGTTGGTTTAAAATTAAAAAAAAGTCTTCATTTTGTTTACAGGCATCTATAGTTGTCAGTATAAAATGTAGACCGTGTTATTTTATACAGCAAATAATATATAGTAAACACCTCTTTCGAATTGACAAATTTATAGGTCTTGATCTGCAGACAGCGAGGTGGGGTAGATTTCAGCTTATCCACTACAGATGAGCGACCAATTATCGCAGTGAGGCTAAGTTGACGGGAGCTAAGAAGTTGTTATGTTAGGTGTAAAATCATTACATAGTCATTAAAGATCGATAAAATAATATTTCTTTGTCAGTCCATTCCACGTATTCGAACATAACCATGGCTCACATGTGACTTCATACTTACTATTTAATTTTTCTAAAAATGTTGTCGTGCACTATTTATTAGTATATTTAATTTCAAAAGTAAATTTTAGTTCTAAAACCTAAATACTAACAAGGTCAGATTTGGCTGTCGCGTCTATGAATTTTAACATTATTTTCTTGTTCCCGATCAAAGTGAATTACCACGAAGAACGGCAAATTGAAACACTCTTTTTACTTCCAGTGATAACGTCATCTACGCCCAAAAATAAACCGGTTTTAACCATTAAATTAAATCGTCGGACAACACTCCATCGCGATAGTACAAGTTACAACGAATTAAGAACGATATTGCAAAAATTAATTGCCGGAAATCATTAGTTTTTAATAGAAAATGACATTGAAGTCTGAATTTGGTGGTCAGACTTATTTGAAAGTTATAGGTATTTTAAATTTTGGGTATTTTTATATATACCCGACGTACCTGGCTGCGATCGCTCAGTGAATTATAATCAAAAACAATAAACATCCATCGACTTGTTATGTAAAACCACCATGGGTGGGTGTCAGAATTATTTTTGCTCAATCATTCTAAAACGTTTATTTAACTAGGTTTCCGAAAATAAAAATTGAAAAATTTGCATGGGAGCTACACTATACGAATTATAACACATAATTTAAAAAATATTTTAGTAGTTTTAAGAAATTGTTTTCAAATTATCACTTTTAACGCGCAATGTATAAAATACGTGAGCCCGAACAGTACACCGCTCCAAGTTTAATACAATAATACGTATGGGTACCTACTTTTTTGCATAATTATTATACAATGCACTATACACCTTGGTACACCTTAGGTTGTAGGTATTTAAAACAATTATTAAAATGTATATTTTAAATACATTATATACGCAAATATGTTTACACTTAGATCGACATAATAATATTTTTTTTGTCTGTCCATTCCATTTATTCGAACATAACCATGGCTTACATGTGACTACATACCTACTATTTAATTTTTCTAAAAATGTTGGCCTGCGCAATTTATTGGTATATATAATTTCAAAAGTAAATATTAGTTCTAAAACTTATATTCTATAAGTAAATAATTTTTACATCATTAATGTTATAACAGGTTGCAACACATAGGTTTCCGAAAAAAAAAAAATTTAAAAATTTGCGTGGGCGCTAAACTATATGGAATAGACACTAAATTAAAAAAAATATTTTAGGGTTTTAAGTAATCGTCTTCAAATTATCACTTTTAATTATTTTGTATAGTGATATTATTGGTAGGTGAAGTTTCTATTTTATAATAGACCGTGTCTAGGGGCACTGGCGGGAGAATGTATTAGAATGTCCATAAACTTGCGGACCTGCAATCTGTGTAGTTAAATTTGGCATGCGTACTATAACAGAAATAGAAAACTAGAATAAGTACATAGCGGATCACAAAGATTTCTGTAAATGAACATACGATTTATCAATAGCCCTAACAGCACAAAGTCAACCATCAGACTGCCACTGTATGTCGTTATAGGGTAGAGGGCAATTTAGAAAAGTAGTCTGTGGGACGTCAGATGGATCCCCTAATGTCCGCGTCCAGGGATTAACCTTCCAGGGATGTACATGGGAAATCCTTTTTTTTCCTTATTTATGTCCAACCATATGCCAACAGGTTACTCATTTACTGCCATTTGATTACCAACAGACCTCCTTTTGGTAACCAATAGACTAACTTTCGGATACTTATAGACTACCAGTTCACCATCTATAATGATTAGTGATTACCAATGAAGTTGAAATTATAATTTATAAATTAATTAATTAAATAAATAAATAATTAATAAATTTATATATTATAAGCAAATATTATGAATAATAATAAAAATAATTTTAGAACTATATTTAATTATAATTGTATTTGAAATTAAAAATGTGATGATATTTTTTTTAACAATAATATATAATTTAATCAAAAACATTGGAGATACAAATTAAAATTTGTAATTGACATATATGTATACATAATAAATATTAAATTTACAATAAATGGTAAGTTATTAAAAAAAAAAATATAATTCCAGTTACAAAATAATATCATATTAATGTGAGATCTATATTAACTTGTAATATTTACACATTTGTGTTTTGTTAATACATTTAAATATTTACATAAATACTATATTTAAATAGTAACACACTTTCAAATTAGCAATAGACATTATAAATATTTAATAGTTATAGTAGAATATAAAATAAACTCAAAATATAAATAACAAAAAATTTTTAAATTTTTAAAATTATATTATTTTATAAATATTAAATAACTATAAATGGTATAATAGTAATAATAACAATATAAATAACTATGTTATATTAATAAATATATTTGGTACTACATTTGAATATTTACATGTGTACGGTATATACACAGAGCATATACTTATATACTTATCGATCACAATACTAGTATGTATAATACTATAAGTCACTATAATACACATTATATATATATAATTATTTAAGTTATACATTATTTTATAATAATTAGTCTTTTCAATAATGTTTTAGATTAGTTAATCATTTTAGAATATAAGTTTATTTAGAATAGTTTTAGATTTATTAATAAGGCCATTTTCAGACCTGGCGTTTATACTCGTTTCTATACCTGTCAATGGCATGCTTAAACCACGACATTATATGTCTGATTATGTCCCTGTTTGTCGTTCCTTGTTGACAACTGCTTCTTACTGCATCTGAAATTTTTTTATAATGACCTGAGTCAATGTTTACATAAGGTCCACAATTTATAATAGTTATATTGAAGAACATGTTTAATATAAATCATTTACTTTTAAATAAATGTATTTAATTACATTTTTCCTAATACTCTAAGATTATTTACCTAGAATTATATCATGCATTTGATAGTTTTTTAATGCCTTTTTCTCTTTGCTCATTCCTGCATATGTTATTACTGTGGCCAATTTGTTAGAAAATATGTATTTCATGGCATTGTATGTTTTTGAACGAATATCGTCACCTCCAATTATAGACAGTTCATTCATCTATAACATAACATTAATTTTAAAGTAGATAACCATTAGTGTTTTGACTAAATTAGTGAACAAATTCAAGTTTTACTAACCAACTGGTTTTTAAATGCTGCATTTTCTAGTATCATTGTATCTACATAATCGAGTTGTGTTTCATCTTTCAACGGAAAGTATGATCTAATATTAATATTTGTATCACCTGATGAGGATGTAATAGGAGCAAGACATCGATTAAGTTTGTTGTGCATTTGTTTCATTACAATAAGCATTTGATTGATCTTAATTTTCATGTGGCAGCTATTTTCCACCAAAACCTTTAAATCTTTTTGTTGAACCGTAACAAGATTTGATAAATTGTTCATGTCACCATTTTCTAAAAATATTTTTCAAATATTTTATTATAATAGATTACAAACAAAACAAAATATTGATTTACCATTTCTGACTATATTCTCAAAACGTTGCTCCATATTTTGTTGTGATTGTTCAGGAGACAAAAAAACAACAGGTGTATTATCTAAAACCATAAAACAATTACTTATACTATGTGAAAAATATATAATAATATGATTTACTTACCATCTATTCGATTGCTTTCTGACCGAGCAGAGCTTAGAAACACTTCACCATTTATATTTTCAAGAAAGGTAATATCTGTTATTATAATCAAAATTTTTAAGTACATACTGGAGTACAAGTATTTTAATATTAAAATAGTTACCATAGGATTCTTCAACTAAATCAGGGCTTTTCTGAAGTATGTCTAAATTACCTTTGTAGCTAAAATTATTTTCTCCTAAAAATTTTTAAATATGTTAAACAATAATATAAGAATTATATTAAAATTATACTAAAATTCTAAATTACCGCATTTTAACTGTTTTGATCTAAACCCACTGTTATTGCTGATATGTTTTGCTAAAAATATTATATTACCAAATTATAGAAGATTAATAAAATATTGTATAATATTTCATGCAAAGAAAAAAGTTACAGAGTTTTAATTGAGGAGGTGCACATGGAGTTTGTAGACTTGTTGTTATTTTTTGAGTTTCAAAAGTTGAATCATCAGAATCCGAGTTTATTTTAGCAGCTTTTATTTTTCGGAATTTTTTCGCTTTATCTGCATCATCACTTTCTAAATCTGTTTTGTACTCTGCCTCCCTCAATTTAAGCTTAGCTTTCAAAAAATCATCTGAAATCAAATCATTAATCGTCAATTTATTTATATGATAAACAATAATCCATTTGTAATGTAACTAAAAATACAAACCATATGAAGCTAATACTCTGATAATATCAACAATGGTCCATGAATTTGAAGGTTCATACATTGTTCGGCACATTTTATCATACTTTAAAATATTCATGACTGGCGGGTACTTGGCTTGTTTTTCATTTATGAGCCAATTTTTTGGAATAATTTCAAACTCCGGTATAAGATATTTTGAATAATTAGAAACAATGCTATAAAGATTAGTAACAAACTTGATTACTAGACCGTATTATAGGTACTGAGTATAATATATAAGTTCTATGGTATGATACAATTCTACAAAAATAAAGACAGTGTTAAAAGGAATAAAACAAATTGTATTTCTGTATAGTTAAGCATGTAGTATAGGCTTATTGGGCACAAGTTTTATTATAATTTTAAATTGTACCTAACTTAAATTAAATATTGATATTTACATTGTGTCATATAAGCAGGGCTTGTAAGTTCAAGCCCCAAAAATTATTAAATAAGCATGCACTTATGCGCTAAAAACTGGCAAAATAATCCTTTAAAAGTTCAGAAATATGCATTCATATGGACTCAAAATCTAAAACTATATATTAAAAATAAGTGGATTAAAAAATGAAGACATCTAATGCAATTTTTGAAATAGCAAGAATTATCTGTTCATATTTTAATAATTTGACATAGCAACAATTCTCATACATTTAATATAGTGAAAAAATATAAATTATTGCGCTTTTCATTATAAAAAAATTATAGTACTTTTTAATTATGTAAACAATGAATTACATATACTAAGTATGTTTATACTTACATGCCTATAATAATGTATAAATATCAATATTACCAAAGGATAGAATATTATTGATACATTATTAATGATGATATAATATGATTACAAATTATAACTTTGTAGGTACTATACCCATAGATTGTAAGTACCATAACAACCTACCATAGTTTTGATTTTATATTACGACAACATTTTCTTATGTTTATAAATATTAAATAGATTAAAAAAATTCCAAAATATTTTGAACATTTTAATGTATTTAAGTTTATTTTTTAGAGTTACACCAAAGCACAAAATTGATTTTTTCTAAAAATTTGCAGTTTTGCATAAAAATCTTAGTTTTTCCTTAATTGTTGGTTTATTTTTCTTGATGTTTTTGAAAAGTTCTGGGAATTTTTTACTTTTGACCCTCCAAAGTACTAACTAGATTCTTTTTAATGTTGAAGTAGAAAAGCTGTTAGGCATTTTCACTGCACCAAAATATGATGACACAAAAATAAAATAAAATATTTCATCATTGTAAAATCAACACAATCATCGCTCCAATCAGAATCTAAAATAGATACCTAAAATACCTACTTAATACTTATATTTCTTCTTTAACTGATACTGTAAGTACATCATGCATAAATTATTTATTGTACCTAAAAATTAAAATCTTTGTCAATAAATTGCCTTTGAATTATATATCTGAACTTGAACTGATATTATTATTTAAGCCTAATACCAAGAACCCAACATCTGTTACAATGGCGTACCCAGGATTTTAGAACTGTGGGTCTGCCTTACTTACGAGAGGCCACTGTGTAGAAACTTCAACCAACTACCTATATAGTTAGGTATTACAAAGTCACTCTGGGCTCGCGATTTACCTTATTAGTTATTTACATCACATTTTGATACCAACGTTCAATACAACTATATCACATATTTTTAAGTAAATTGTAAAATTAATAGCTATATTTAATTTATTTTTATTGTTATTTGTTGCATTAAAATTTATATTCAATTAAAAAAATTACCTGACATATTTAAATCATTAGAAGAAATTATACAAATTTATTATTTTATTTGTATACGTATATTTGCAGTATATTTATTTTATTTTAGTTTTCAATGACTGATTTCATTTTCACAAGAGATATAGAATAGGTGGTTCTAAATTCTAATACAATAGAAAAGTCAACAATAATACATTAATAAAATTTATATTTAATAATACCTACATGAAAATAATAGTAAAGAACTAAAACATGACAATCATTTTCTGCGCTTTTTCATTAGTGCGAATTATGTACTTATTACGTTAACAAAATCAATGGTTTGAGCTATGTTGCTTTCTATGCTCAATATGGCCAAATTTGATAGCCGGTCTTCAGTCATAGTTGAGCTAAGGCATGTTTTGAGAAGTTTTAGAACGCTAAAACTTCTTTCTGCAGTTGCACTGCAGACTGGTAGTGTATAAAAAATTGTATACAAAGTATATAAATTTGGATATGAAGAAACCATGTCTCATGATATCATGAATTTTCAATACATCATTTAATTTTAAAGTTCCAGTTACTCCAGTTTCAATAGTTTTGCCATTTGTTGGTAAACTAGATGTAATGAACGGTATTCCACTTCTATATCAATTTCATCTATGTCAACTTCATAAAATCTTATATAATATCTATATCCAACATATTTTTATACTTGTGTTTATCGAATTTTAGGTACGTACATTATAAGTTGATAAGCTTAAACACGATTTCGTACGCGTTATTTTACTTCAATACTCAGTCTTCACAGCTGTATATTATACGATATACCCCTATATCATAATAGCAGATCTTCGATATTTTGAAGGGGGGGGGGCACATATAAATTGTATAATTTTAATTTTAATTAATAATACATACATACTATCAATAATGATTATAATAAGTAATAATTAATAGTTGGTAGTATTATCCTTATCAACTGAATGTTTCATTTATATGATACTCGTAGTTACATAACAACTTGTCGACAGAAAATTGACAAGGGGCACGTGCCTCTCCTCTAAATTCACCACTGTACATAATTTTTTCAAATAAAAAAATGTTTTTATAGTTTGCCATTTCGAGGGGCCACATTTAACTGGGAAAACAACTGTGGGTCAGCTGACCTCCCAATCCCCCCCTGGGTCCGCCCCTGATCTGTTACAACTTACAAGTTGTATTTTAATAAATATTTAATAACTTATTATAACATCAATTTATTAAAAATCACATCCCAAAGTTTCATCCAGTATGGTTAAAGTCTATAGATCAGAAATTACCTCAACTTGGCACATAATACATTATACAAACTACACACATATGTTTACTATGTTAGTTAAATAACTGTTTACCCTCCAAAGCGGTATCATAATAAATAAATAACGCTTAATTTGCAATACCTATGTTACAGTTACTTAAAAATATATGTTTACAAGAATTACAATTAAATGTATTTTTTGTTTCTTATAGTCAGCAAAAGAGGGTTTTCAAGTTCCAGATAAACTAGGATATCAATGTATAACGTGGACTACTCAATTATGTTTTCTTCCGTTCATACATATATTTCGTTATTACCAGTTTCAGATAGATGAAATTACACAACTGAATAATGATTAATTTTAATAATAATTTTATCATTTTTGAAATTAATTATGATTGCGAGGAATGAAACATTAAATTATTGTTAATATTGTAAGAATCAAACTATTGTTTATAAAAATACTATAAATTTAAATTAAGTTAATTTGTACCTTTGTAGTTTATAATAAATGTATTTTCTATCTAATTATTGTAATAAATATAATTACATAAGAATTTATATTTAACTTAAAATATGATTAATACAACAAATAACTAAATTACTAATTGGTACAATTTGAATATTCCAATTCAAAATTGTTCAAAGAACTTTTATATTTTTAACTTTTTATTTTAAATATACAGTGTATGGTACAGACATACAGTGTAAAATATACATAATTATAATATTTAATATATAGATTTACAATAAATAGTTTAAATTTAAATATAATAATAATAATAATAATAATAATGACACAGTTTAATATTTAAACCATAATGGCCTATATTAATGATGTTCCACAGATTCTGAAATTTTTAAAATTTTATTCATTACTTTTATAATGTTTAGTGACTAATATGTATGTAAACTGTTTTGTGGTATATATGTATTGTTTAATATATTATACAATATTAAAACTTATATAAATACTGTTTTATATTACGGCTGTGGTACGCAAAATTCTTATAAAATATTAAGTGTTATATACATTATTATTTATTATATATACCAAAATATTATTACTTTTTTGAGATGTTGATCATGAATATTGTAAAAACATAATTTACACTTAAGTAAACATGGTGTGTGAAGAAAATTATTATTGAATTAACCAATAGTGCTAAACGGCCAACGCCACCGCGAGTATATTATATAATGTACTGTGGTATATACTATATACATTAGGTAGTGTATCAAAGCTGCGCGCGCAGCAGACGGCAGTTACGGGAAAACAACAACGCCCGCCTGTATTATGTAAAATAACTGAAATAATTATGTATAGTATTTTATATTGATAAATAAAACAATTCGTGGTACATTATTTCCTAAGCACTACAAAATTTTTAAAAACGAAGTGGAATTGTTCTAGTATATATACACATACACGCTCACACTTAAGTATAACAGTACATGTACTCTCGGTGGTGATATAATATAATATAATATGACAATGACTTTAAATAATAATAATGTACGATATATTCCTGTATTATAATATTATTATTTAATTTATATGAAAAATAACGTGAAAAAAAAAATGCAAAAAAGTCGGGTTTCGGGCGGCCGTAAAAAATGTACAATATGGTATTATTATATAAACTTTGCAGACGATAAAAATCTAGGTACCTACCATTATTGGAATTTTTCAAAAATGAATTTGGTTTGAACATGTCAAATGATCGCAATCTTAGCACAACAAGATACAAAACTACTATTGATGCGGTATTTACAAGATATTTGAATAAATGCGAATCAAAATTGTTTGTATCATACTTTAGCTACCATAAACCGATTGTATCAGCTTTAGAAATTGGCGATGATGCTGGCAGTGATGATGGTGCAAGAGTTGGTGAAATGATGGATGGAAATTGATTTTTCTGAGTGTACTTTAACTAATTTTTGTAAAGCATTTGTAATAATTTTGACATGTAATTTTTTTTTCTTTTATGTAAAATAACTGAAATAATTATGTATAG